TTTTCTGATGAAGGGTCTAGGCCCAAAACGTCAGCCTTTCTGCTCCTACGATGCTGCTTAGCCTGCTGTGTTCATCCAGCTCTGCACCTTGTTGTCTCGGATTCTCCAGCATCTGCAGTTCCTACTATCTCTGCATGGGTTAGTGTTGGGACCACAATTATTCATGTTATGCCTTAGTGACCTGGACAAAGGAACTTAGACCATTGTTGCTAAGTTTGCAGATCAAACAAAGATAGGTACTGGGACAGGTAGTTTTGAGCAAGCTGGGCGGTCGCAAAAGGACTTGGATAGCCTAGGCGAGCAGGCAAGGAAGTGGCAGATGGAATACAATGTGGGTAGATGTGAGGTTATGCTCTACGGTAGGAAGAATTAGAGGCATGTAGACTATTTTCTAAATGAGGAAAGTCTTCGGAAATCTGAAGCACAAAGGAACTTGGGAATCATATTTCAGGATTCTCTCAATGTTAACATTCAGGTTTAGTTGGCAGTTAGGATAGAATATAAGAGCAGAAATGTACTGCTGAGGCTGTATAAAGCTGGTCAGGCTGCATTTGGAATATTGTGAGCAGTTTGGGGGGCCATTTCTAAGGAACGATGTGCTGGCCTTGAAGAGATTCCAGAGGAAGTTTAGAAGAATGATCCCAAGGATGAAGAACTTATCATTTGAGGAGCGGTTGAGGACTTTGGGTCTGTACTTGGAGTTTGGAAGGATGGGGTGTATCACATTGAAACTGGAAGATTACTGAGAGGTCTGGATAAAGTGGATGTGGAGAAGATGTTTCCATTAGTAGGAAAGATTAGGACCTGACGACAGTCTCAGAGTGAAGGGATGACTCTTTGAACTAAAAAGATTAGGAATTTCCTCAGCCAGTGGATAACAATCTGTGAAACTCAAAGCTACAGAAGGCTATGCAGACCAAGTCATTGAGTGTATTTAAGCCAGAGATAGGTTCTTTATTGGTAAGGGGATTGAGGGTTATGGGGAGAAGGCAGGAGAGTGAGGTTGAGAAACGTGTCAGCCATGAACAAATGGTGGAACTGATTCGGTGTGACAAATGGCCTAATTCAGTTCCTGTATTTAATTGTCTTGCATGATTGTGGCGCAAAAATATTTCTAATTTTACACAAATTTCAGTTCAGAACATCTTACTTTCCATGTTCTCAAAATGTTGGGCAGTGTAGAGAGAGACTTACTGTGGATTTCACCTTTTCTATATTCAACTTCTCCTACTGGCCTGCCCATATCCTTGGACTGTAACCTTTGGCTGTGGACTCCCCAGGCATCAGGAACATCCTTCCTGCATTTACCCTGTTAGTCTTGTTAGTCCTGTTAGAATTTTATAAGCTTCTATGAGACCTCCCCCACACTCTTCTAAACTGTATTGAATATTGTCCTAACTGATCCAGTCTTTCTTCATATGTCAGTGCTGCCACCCCACAGAAACAGTTTGGTGAACCTTCATTACACTCCCTCCACAGCCAGAAAATCCATACTTAGATAAGGAGACCAAATCTGCATACAGTACTCCAGGTGTGGTCTCACCAAGCCCTGTATGTAACACATTCCTGTTCCTATGCTCTCCTGTCACTATAAAGGCCAACATACCATTTGCCTTCTTCACTGCATGCTGCACTTGTATACTTACTTTCAGTGACTGGTATACAAATGTACAAGGACACCTAGGTCTTGTTGAACTTCCCCTTTCTCATTCTCTCTCCATTCAGATAATAACCTGTCTTATTACTGTTGCTACCAAAATGGATAACCTCCCATTTATCCACATTTCACCACATCTGCCACGATTTGCTCACTCATTCAACTTGTCTAAATCACACTGAAACATTTCTGTATCCTCATTGCAGTTCACCCTCCCATCCAGCTTTGTAGTGTCTGCAAACTTGTAGGTATGACATTTAGTTCCCTCGTCTAAATCATTAGTTTACATTGTGAATAGCTAGGGTCAAGCACTGATCCCTGTGGTCCCCCACTAGTCACTTAGAAAAAGATCTATTCATTCCTATGTTTGTTTCCTGTCTGCCAAACAGTTCTCTATCCATGTCAATACACTAGCCCAATCCCATGTGTTTTATTTTACATGCTAGTGTCTTTTGTGATACTTTACTGAAAGCCTTCTGAAAATCCTGCTGACTCAAATGGGTACTGTGGCAAAAGAAGAAAAGCATTTGCATTTATATAGCACATTTCATGACTGCCACCTGCCTCGAAGTGCTTTACAGCCAATGAAGTACTGTATCTGAAGTGGCTAATATTGTTGGGGTGTAGAAAACACAGCAGCTAAGTTGTACTCAACAAACTCTACCAGACAGTAAGATGAGAATGACCAGAAAATCTGTTTTTTGTGATGTGGATTCAGAGATGAATATTGGCCAGGTCAGGATGCTGTTGATAACACCCCTGCTCAATCTTTTACATGTGCAAGAGGCTGATATGGCCTTGGTTTAATGTCTCATTCAAAAGACTGCATCTTTAACAATCTGATACTCCCTCAGTATTACATTAGAGTATCAATCTTGGTTTTTGTGCTCAAGGGTTAGAGTGAGGCTTGAATCCGGAACCTTGTGATTCACAGGGTGGTGTTACCAACTGAGGCACATACTGAGCTACCAACTCATGAACAATGAATTAATTTTCTTCCTGTTGTTCAGTAAAGAGAACTTGCTACTTTTACAATCGTTGGCCTACATGCAATTCTGCTTTAAACTAAATGGACGATTGTGAATATCCTTTGAAATAGCTTAGCAAGGCACTCAAGTATATAAGTAAACGGTATAAAGTATTAGTCTAATTTTTCAGATTCAGGTGATCGTTATAAATTATTAAAACTTAACTGTACAATTGTCACCTGATTGCCTCAAAGAAGCTGGTTACAATAAATTGCCTCTAAATATTTTCATACAAGATGGAATTTACAACTTTTGTAGTGTGAGTGGAATATGCATACTTGGAAGAAATTTTCTGTGACAATTTAAGTGAATGAGAAACATATCATTTTGCTTCTATCTTAAGGAAATACTCAAACAAACTTATGTAATTGGTCATTTTTAACAAATGCATAATTGAGTGAGGGTCTGAATGAAGTTGTACCAAGCAGTGGTGTTTTGAAGACAATTGTTTTTGTCATATGTCTTCTGAATAAATGAACAGGAACTGAAATAACCTTCTTCTAAATATTCATGTGATTTTAAAATCAATATTTTAAATTTGTTTTCTATTTTCTGTTTATACTGTTTCTGCTTATTATAGGTTCGTTTAGCTAACACAAAATCAAACAAGTCTTCAACCATTTATGGAACGGATTCTTACGTAGTTTCATTGACTTCAAAGTAAGTGCTGTTTTCTTTGTAACTGCCAGACATCCTGTTAAGGAGGAGGGCTTCTCTTTGTCATATGTATGACATTGTAAGCTTACTCTTTATAAATGGCAAGGTGATCTTATTTTGGATACCGCACTTCCTTGCCCCATTCTGACCACAAGGTTCAAACTGAACATTTGATGAAGGAATTGATATCATGTTTTGCAAGCCACTTGATATTTATTTCTTTCATATAGAAAATAAGGCAAAATACACAATTAATTGGCTGTGGTCTGACTATTACCCAATTGTGATATAACCAAAAATGAATTCCTTTGATTCCTGTGCTTTTAGCATACACTTCTTATACAGTGATTTAAATGTCATGTGTTGAATAAATTTCTATCCTACTCTTCAACTCATTAAGTTAATGTAGAAATTATTTATTACTTTCATTCATTCCTTTCACAGTTTATCGGGCAAAGGAATTCTATCTGGACATGCAGATGGCACAATTGTACGTTACTATTTTGATGATGAAGGAGTGGGTGACTCACAGGTATTTTATTAGTTTAAACGCACGAATGCTAAGAAAATGGTGTGATCAACCTCTAGTGGGCTTTACTGTTCTATCTATAGAGATAGTCCACACAAACTCAAAAAGCCATGAGGGAACATTCATAAAGTGATCTGACAAGTTACACAATACATGCCTATATTTAGTTCATTTCAATTTTAGGCAGAACGTGACCTGCAGAGCATATCCATCAGACTGAATGCACGGTCAATTTCTGCGTTGATTACTGCCTCAATGACCATTTACACCAAGGGTTCATTCCAGATTGGTTGGTGCTAGAAATGCTGAATGATCCATTCCTTTTCCTGAGGTCCCTAGCATCACAGGGTGCCAGAGTGCCAGAATAGGTTTAGGTTGTCTCAAGGGATGATATTGAGTCAGGGGTGCTAGTGAAGTTTGTAGAATTGTGTTGTGTTCAGGCGTCCACAACATATGGTTGTCAGGGGTCTATGTGAATGTAGTCAGGTGGTAAATAGAGGACATCTGTTTAATTGTTACTCAGGAGTTAGACTAGATTCTCTTACTTTTCCTGTGTAACTATTAACTTTATTGGAGTGGAACTTTCCAAGCTCTCTGACTTTAATTTCTGCCTACATCACATGGACTGGTGAGGCTGAAGAAAGTAGTTGACCACCACCTCTTGAGGGCACCAAGGGATAGGCAATAAATGCTGGCCGAACCAGTGATGTCCTCATCCCATGAGTGAATTTAAAAAAAGATTCTTTCACAAGGTTCCAATCTTAGGGGAGTTACCTATCAAAATTTTCAATTTCTGGAGCAATTCCTTTAAGTCTGTTGTGTCTGGGAGTGCACATGATCCAAATGTGCAACTCCAGTCTGTGCTACTCCAGTGACCATTGAAATACCTGCGCACATGTGTTTTCCTTAGAACTTGCTTTCCTAATCACCTTGGTAGTATTTGTAAATTTGGCTTCAATACGCTTGATCCCTTTGTCTAAGCAATTAATATAAATTGTAGTTGAGGTCCCAACACTGGCACCTGACTTGTAACTGCTTGACATGAAAATGACCCATTTACCATGACACTCTCTTTTCTGTTAGTTAAATTCTCTATGCATGCTAAAATATTAAGCCCAACAGCATGAACTCATGTGAAGTAACCTTTCGTGCAGGTCTCATCGCAGCAAATCTACTGGTTCTCCTTTATCATCCTGCTTGTTACATCATATATGAATCCTAATACAAACATGTTTTCTCTGGTTACATTATGCTGCTGCCTAATTGATGGGTTCCAGCAATATCCTAATGTCAGATGTTAAGCTAACTCACCTTTTAAGTACGTGCTTTCCGTCTTCCTTCTTTATCGAATAGGGTCACTAAGTTTGTGGTTTTCCAGTTCATTGGAACCTTTCCAGGATCTAGGAAATTTTGGAAGGTTACAACAAATGAATTTACCAGCTCATTGAGTAAAATGGTACCCTAACAATGAAACACAACTTTTTTGTTTCAGGGAAAACTAGCAACACACTGCTGTCCACCTTATGCCTTAGCTTGGGCTGTAAACAGCATTGTGGCTGCTGGATGTGATAAGAAAATCATTGCCTATGGAAAGGAGGGCCATATTATCCAGCAGTTTGATTATGGCCGTGATGCTACGGAAAAGGAGTTCGCAGTAGCTGCCACTAGTCCTAGTGGACAGTCGATAGTCATCGGCAGTTATGACAGGTAAAATGATAAAGAAAGTAAGCAAATCAGTAAGTTTTATTTCATTTTGTTGTTTTAGCAAAATTGGTGCCAGTAAAGGATTTAAATAAAATCCTTGCCCTGGAAGTTCTATACAATGTACTAATATTAGTCCCAATATTCTCCCTGCTTTTTGAATTCGGGAAGATGGCGGCAGGGCAGGGAGTGGAGGCTAAAATGGTGTGCATCCCAGTTTAAATTCCCTATATAGGTTGGTGAAATTACGACCATAATGTGTTGCTCTTATTCTAATTTCAATGATCATCTCACACTTTCCTTCACTTCTTCTTTTCTGAGAGCAATTACTCTGGTTCTTAATTCAGTGGACATTCTTTGTATGGAACATAGGCATTGAGATTCAACCAAAGGCAAAGCATCGTGGCCACATTGACTTTTTTTTTTCTAATATTCTTGCATGTACATTTTCATGTCATTCGTTGAACTATGATCAGAAGCTCAGCTGATGCTTTTATCCGACACACCCACTAGGTTTCTGCAGGGTGCTCCAGTTTCCTCCCACAGTCCAAAGATGTGCAGGCTAGGTAGCTTGGCCATGTTAAATGTGGTATGCTCTTTGGAGAGTTGGTGCACATTGAGTGTGCTGAATGGCTTCTTTCTGTAATGCAGGGATTCTATAATTTTAAGAACTTGCAGTAAGATATGTTATTAACATTAAGTGGACATGGGCAAGTCTGATATAGGTGTGATTTTCACATTTGGACCAATATGTTTGAATTGATCTAAGTTCATAATGCTCGACTTGTAGTCCTTTATTCAAGCCAGTTTTCCCACTTCAAAATGTGAGTAGTAATTAAGATGATGACTTCTTCAATCATTAGATATTACCAGGAATTTCTAATTCTGTAGAGCAGTGATTCAGCAATAAAAAATACAATAACAAATGAACACTTTTCTCTCCTACATCTTTGAACTAAAAAGCGTTTTGAAGTAGCAGAGCTGAATAAGTGTAATAAAAAAATGTTTTTTTTAAAGGGATGATTCAAATTGTTGCATGCTCATTTTGTTTTGAGTCAAGTGCAGCTTTGTAATTGCTTTATTTTTGTTCTATATAACACATAATCCGACCTTCATAGGTAAACTGGCACTTGATATCAAATTATCTGGGATTTTATGTACAACGTGGTATTCAGTATTCTCTTTATACTTTTGCAATTAGATCAAAAGGGACAGCATTATAGATAATGTGCATTGGTTTAAAAATCCAGAAGATTAGCTTTACAAATGAGAGTATGCTCAAGGCAAACAATAAACCCGTTCATTTTCTCCAGATTACATTTATACTACAAACACACATCACGCAAAAAATGAAGCATCTAGGATGAATACAGAAAATGATACATCAAACACACTGACTTTAGAGCAGAATATTTGACAGACTAATCTATATTTTGGTAATTTTCTTGTTATGCTGTATCTAATTGATACAGAAATTAAATTAAGTGGAGACAATTACACTAGGCTTCTGGTCTATTAAATTGATCATGAAAATGCATTTTTTGTGTATGAAAATAATTTCTGTATGTTTTGAACATTGTCAAGTATTAATTTATTTTCAGTCAATGGCCTAAACCCGGTGGCTTTTTGCAGGCTGAGAGTACTAAACTGGAGTCCTCGTAGAAATGCATGGGATGAGTCAAGACCAAAGGAGATCCCAAATCTTTACACTATTACTGCCTTAGCTTGGAAAAAAGATGGTTCCAGACTATGTGCGGTTAGTATTTAAAGATAAATCTACTTCATCAAAAATATTTATTAACTTTTTAAAGAAAAATTTTGGTAAATCCATTTGTGTACGTGAAACTTAAATGTAATGACTTGAAGAGTAACTGCTAGATAGTTTAAGAAAAATATTTTACCTCTACTATGGGATGTATTTATGGTGGGACACACTCCGTTTTAGCAAAAATAAATGTGTATTTTTCATACAGTTAGCTTATATTTTATAACTGGTAAAGAGAAAAATCTTACATGTCCTGTGTGTTTAAATTTCAGGGCACACTTTGTGGAGGTGTGGAACAATTTGATTGCTGTTTGCGTAGATCTATTTACAAGAACAAATTTGAAATGACATATGTTGGGCTCAGCCAGGTAGGTAGCAAAGATGTACTTTCCTTTCACTATTCATGGTGCACTATAATGAGTAAGTTTTTGGAATTTGTATTTATAAATGAATAACAAAATAGTTATACGTTACTCAACAAGACAAAATTTATATTTTTACAAGATTTAATAAGCCAAGCCCCCTCCCATTACACAGTCCAAGGGAAGACTATATTTGAAACATTTGATTTTCATGTAGACTTTGTTTATTTTCAGCCTAATAGTTAACACTGTTTCAATAAGTTGAACCCAAACATCTAAGTTAATATACTGTCAGAGGTGCTGTTTTTCAGATGCAATGTTAAACAGAGGCCCTTTATTCGCTATGGCATTATTTTGAAGAATAATAGAGGAGGTCTCCCCAGTGTCCTAAGCAAAACTTATTCCTCAATCAGCATCACAAGGAAAGATTATCTGGTCAAAATCACATTGATATTTTTGGGAGCTTGCTGTGTGTAGATTAACTCTGCATTTTCTTCTGTTTCTGTTCTTCTTTCCTTCAGTAGTGATTGTAACGAGGTCAGCCAGGTGGCCCTCATAGAATATGAGTTCCCTGTTTGGAGTTGTTAATCTGGTTCAGCCAGGGAGCCTGGCTGACAGTTAAAAACAGGAAGCCTGATAGCATGGCTGAGTGGTCTAAGGAGTTGGATTTAGGCTCTAGTTGCTAAGGACGCGTGGTTTCGAATTCCACCACTACCAAATTTGTTGATAGCATGTTACACTGAATTGCAGTGCAGGTGAGTTCTCTTCTAAACTCCACAAAAACAGGAGTGTCAGACATCCTGTTGCTCTGAGGGAGCTGGATCAGTGTCAAGGATTTTCCATGTATAAATAAAGGATGACTTGGTGATGGGATACCAGCTTCTGTGGAGTAATTTCTGTGATGATGAGAGTAAAGTGAAGAAATTCACATGTAACAGTCATCTTTGAGTTGGGGTAAGTATTGCATGCATCATGTCATTATTTGGGAAGCTTGACTCGTTCGACCCCACTGTCGAAGACTGGGCCCAGTATGTGGAAAGAATGTGTTTTTTTTTTGGGGCAAATGACGTTGGGACAGATGGAAAACAGCGAGTGATTCTCCTGACAGCTTGTGGACCCACAGCTTTTTTGGTTATTAGGATCCTTGGAAAATGCGGCAAGTGGAGCATATGAGTTCAGGGTATTCCAATGGAAGTGGACACCCTCACCAGTCCGACTGAGTTTGGGGAACACCATTTGAGTGAAGGCAATTACATAGCCTCACTCAGAATATATGTCCTGAATAGAGGGTCTCCAGGTCAGCCCACAGAAAAACCCCAAAACAAAGCCAAGCCTCGGCCAAACAGTTAAAATTTTATTGAGGATTTGAGCTAGCAAGCCATTGTGGTTACTGCTGGCATGCGGTCTCAAGACAGCAAAGCAGTCCTACTTGACCTAATCTAAATAACAGAACTCATAGGTCGGTATCCAGGGGAATGCACACCCTGGAAAGTCCACCTACATCTGGTTTGGAGCAATTAAATTGCTTAGCAAAATCCAAATCAGAACCAATCAAAATAAACATCTGGTTAAATGGTCACCCAGTTCTAATGAGGTTGAGACTGGCATGTTTCAGTGGTCGCAGAACCAGTCTTTAACTCAGTGGTTAGCACTGCTGCCTCACAGCGCCAGGGACCCGGGTTTGATTCCACCCTTGGGTGATTGTCTGTGTGGAGTTTGCACATTCTCCCCGTGTCTGTGTGGGTTTCCTCTGGGTGCTCCAGTTTCTTCCCACAGTCCAAAGATGTGCAGGCTAGGTGGATTTATTTAGTGACTTAGACTCCCTACAGTGTGAAAATAGGCCCTTTGGCCCAACAAGTCCACACCGACTCTCACAGCATCACACCCAGACCCATCCCCCTATAATCCACCTAATCTACACATCCCTGAACACTAGTGCTAAATTGCCCATAGTGTTCAGGGATGTGTAGATTAGGTGGGTTATAGGGGGATGGGTCTGGGTGGGATGCGCTGAGGGTCGGTGTGGACTTGTTGGGCCAAAGTGCCTGTTTCCACACTGTAGGGATTCTATTCTATGATTCTATGAAAATTCACTTGGGACTCCAACCCTTCAGTTTGTGTAAGACTTTGGCTAGACTGAGAACTCACATTGGGAACCTTTACAGATTAAGGATACAACTTTGGTTGTGGTATCTTATGAGAAGCAGGTGGTTCAGTTACCACTGATTGTCGTAGAAGACACCATTGTTTACCAGCAGGGAATTTGAGTATTTCTTAAAGTTGAGTGGCATTTGACATATAAGGACAGCTCCGTACCATCCATCATCCAATGGTTTGGCAGAAAAAGCAGTCCAAACTTTGAAGACAGGCTTGAAGAAACAGCCAACATCTTCACTAGACAACGAATTGCCCTGGTTTCTATTTGATTATAGGGCTACCCCTCATGCAGCTACAGGGATAACTCCAGCAGAATTGCTAATGGGGAGAAGGCTCTTGCACCAGGTTAAATCTGATCTTCCTGGACGTGAGAGGTATGGTGAAATAGCATCAGGAAACCCAGTGCCTGACACAAGAGTCTGCCAAATGAGAGAGACAGTTTACTTCAGGAGATGATGTTTGCTGTTGGAACGTTGGGAATGGCCCTGCATGGCATGGTTGTTGCGAGGTCAGGTCCAGTGATGTCACAAGTTTGGGAAGGTGCAATGGTCCTGAATAGGCACATGGACCATATGAAAGCTGCAATCTCGCAAATAGGGCAAGAGCGAAACATGTCCGGATCCTTAGAACAGTCGGAATGACTGGTGGAAGCTATGGGTTCTTCCTCTCCATCAAGCGTTGAAGATACCTTCGAATGTGAATGGATATGGCGGATGCCATTGCCTCGATGCCTTTGCCACCTGAAGAAGAGAATTAATTTTTTCCGAGACACTCCGGGCGCAAATGGCGAGCTACTGAGTGTTACATGCTGCCCGTATCTGAGGCAGGGTTGGAGGTACCTGGCCTAATGCTACTATGCCCAGGAGGAGCCACAAGAAAATGAACAGGCCGATGCCCTCGGACTCCGAGGGGGAGGAATGTAGTGATTGTATTCAGGTCAGCCAGATGAACCTTGTAGAATATGAGTTCCCTGATTGGGGCTGTTAATCTGATCCAATCAGGGAGCCAAGGCTGAGAGATAAAAACAGGGTGTCAGACATCTAGTCACTCTGACAGCTCGTTCTGAGGGAGCTGGATCAGTACCAAGAGCTTTGTACGTGTAAATAAAGGGTGACTTGGAGACGGGATACAAGCCCCTGTGGAGTTATTTCAACTTCCATTTCTTCTCTTTTCTTCCTCCCTCCCTCCCGCAATTTAATAATAGGAGTTGGAAAGTCATGTTGAGATTGTATAGGACATTGGTGAGACGTCTTCTGGAACACTGTGTCCACTTCTGGCTGCCCAGTCATAGGAAGGATATTATTAAGCTGGAGAGGGTTCGGAAGAGATTTACTAGGATGTTGCTGCATATGTGAGGTTTGAGTTATAAAGAGAGGTTGGATAGGCTGGGATTTTTTTCACTGGGGTGTAGGAGGTTGAAATGTGATCCTGTTGAAGTTTATAACATAATGAGGGGTATAGATAGAGTTAATGGTCATTGTCTTTTCCTGAGGATGGGGGAATTTCAAGACTAGGGGGCACATTTTTAAGGTGAGGGGAGAGACATTTAAAAAAAGATGAGGGTCAAGTGTTTTACATAGAGGGTGATTCTCATGTGGAATGAACTTCCTGAGAAAGTGGTGGATTTAGGTACAATTAAGTTTAAAAGACATTTGGATAAGTACATGAATAGGAAAGATTTGGAGGGATATGGGCCAGGAGCAGGTAAGTGGGACTAGCTTAGTTTGCGATTATGTTCGGCATGGACTGGTTGGACCGAAGGTTCTGTTTCCGTGCTGTATGACTCTATGGCTATGTTGCATCCTTGAGTATTACCTTGCATGGTACAGGCAACAGGTCTTACAATTATGACTTTTAAGTTATTGAATGTACTTATGAATTGTATAAACTGGATTCAATTTTATTTCTTTGATATGTAAGTATACTGTTCATTTGAAATAATTCATAAAGTTAACCAAATAAAAGAAAGTAGGAATAGACTTTATGTTTTATTTTTTCCCCAATTAGGTTATAGTAAGGAACCTTTCGACTGGTACCAGAGTCGTGTTGAAGTCTCACTATGGGTATGAAATTGATGAAGTGAAGATCATGGGAAAAGATCGCTACCTGGTGGCTCATAGCACTGACACATTACTTCTCGGAGACTTGGCAACCAACAAGCTTAGTGAGGTAACATGTGAGTTTAAACATCAACTTTGGGAGGTATATTCGGCAACTCCTTTTTCCAGCTTGGAAGAGTATATTCCATTTCTTTCAATCTGTGTGACTTGCCTTTTATTGTTATAATGTACATTAAGAATAGGCTGGGATTGAGGTTATGTACTTTCCCTCTCTTCAGATAATTGGGTCCATGACAGTTCCACTCTCTGTTTCTTTCAGCCCCAGTACGCATCTGAAAACTGCATTGAGTGTGATCTTGCACAGGGATTGTGCCTGAGCATGTTGATGCCCCTGGATATGTGGCTAATTCTCAGACTTATCACTGAAGTGCATTTCTTTGACTTGTGACTAGTTAGAGAAGGTCTGACTGTCTCATTTTGTTTTTATTTGTCTTCCAAATTTTCAACCCTGTTCTCGACAGTCTTGCTGCTTGGCTGCTGTTCTGTAGGAACCAGCAGGCCTTTGTTAACCATCAATGGAAGGCTAGATGGCGCTACCAGGATATTTAACTATAATCTGGTTCATAGAATCCCTACAGTGTGGAAACAGGCCCTTTGGCCCAACACGTCCACACCGATCCTCAGAGCATCCCACCCAGACCCATCCCCTATAACCCACCTGATCTACACATCCCTGAACACTATGGGCAATTTAGCATGGCCAATCCACCTAGCCTGCACATCTTTGGACTGTGGGAGGAAACCAGAGCACCCAGAGGAAACCCACACAGACATGGCGAGAATGTGCAAACTCCACACAGACAGTCACCCGAGGGTGGAATCGAACCCAGGTCCCTGGCGCTGTGAGGCAGCAGTGCTAACCACCGAGCCGCCATGCTGCCCGCTTTTTTTATAGAATAGAATCCCTACAGGCCCTTTGGCCCAACAAGTCCACACCAAACCTCAGAGCATCCCACCCAGACCCAGCCCCCTATAAACCCACCTAATCTACACATCCCTGAACATTATGGGCAATTTAGAATGGCCAATCCACCTAGCCTGCTCTTCTTTGGACTGTGGGAGGAAACCGGAGCACCCGGAGGAAACCCACGCAGACACGGGGACAGTCACCCGAGGGTTCTCTTCTCTGAAATAGCAGGTGGCAACTGTGGCTGATTTCAACAGTCTCATTTACACCAACATAACAGAAATAGTTTTAAAGTATGAATTTAGTATTAGAAGAAGGAATAAAATTCTTTTCGTGTTCATGATGAGACAACTAAGTGACACACTAATGGATTGTATCTCAAAGTGGTAGGAATTGGTTAATACCTGCGTATTTGCTACATAAGTGGGTTCTTGATTTTAGCTGAAATATCTGCTTGGAAGGAAGCCGACCTAACTTTAGAGGTTTCTGTGCACATTATGGTAACTAACACCAGAACAGCACTTCTTTACTGTGTCTTCTTTGGAATGATGCAATAGGCAAGATGGTGAAATAATAAAAACGTGCATTACGTATTTATTTTGGTTTTGCAATTATGTGATCCAGTATTAGCATTTGAATGTTTCTGGATAAAATTCCTCTGTACACTTTGTCAAATAAGGCATTTACTATTTAATTTTACTTCAAATGGGAATTTCATACAAGGCTTTTCAGTGTTTGTACATGAATGACAATTGGCAATGGATTAATGGTCATTATTAGATTCTTAATTCCAGAAATTTTTATTGAATTCAAATTCCACCATCTGCCGTGGCGGGTCTCCAGAACGTTATCTGGGTCTCTGGATTAACGCCCAGCAATAATACCACTCGGCCATTGCCTCCTCTAATTGGCCATGCTAAATTGCTCATAGTGTCCAGGGATCTGTAGGCTAGATAGATTAGCATAGGAAATGCAGTGTTACAGATTTAGGGTAGGGTAGTGGGGGTGGGTCTGGGTGGGATGCTCTATGGAGGATCAGTGTGGAGTGGATGGGCTAAATGGCCTGCTCCCACACTAGGGATTCTGTGATTCTATGATTAATGCTGGGTGACCCCCATCAAACTTGTTGTGAGAACTTCTTGCATAGTGGAGGACCCATTTGCAAGTGGCAAAATGCCAGTGGCAATGGAAAGAGGCCCTTAATTGGTCACTTATATGGTTTAGTAGACCTCTGGATGGAAGGGCTATCTTCCACTTTCTCAACTGCTACTGAAATACTATGGTGGCTGAGAGGTGGTAGGTGTTCCAACCCCTAATCCTGCCTTCCCTCATTGATTACAGGGCCACCACTTCCCAGCCTGTCCTTAGAAGGCTGATAAAGTCAGCCCTAATATTGTATGTGGTGATTCCAAGATGTGATTTGTTCAATTTTCTGTCGTGTGCCATATCTGCAACCTGTAAATCCTGTCATTGGAATACATTTGTTAATAATATGTTAATAATCTCATTTCTAGAGAAAATGTTTATAACATCTAATTTGTTTCAGGTTGCCTGGCAGGGGTCTGGTGGAAATGAAAAGCTTTACTTTGATAATGAAAATGTAAGTTTTGCTTCACTTTGAAATTGTATCAAGTGACTCAAACATAATCTTGTTCTTTACATATATGAAGCATGATTCATGTTATTCTTGTTAAACTCATAATGAGAAGTTTCTCCAAAGGTGGCATTGAAATACTCATTTTCCACTAGAAGGTATCTGGTATATATTGTAGAATGCAAGAAAAGTTGGATTCTGAGGAAACATATGCTGCTTACTGCATATGCTGACATTTAAATTTTGAACAAGAATGATGGTCTTCCTACTATATCAAACCCCAACCACAGGGATTTTATACCAAATGTTGCCAAAGTTGAGTTTTAATTCTTTAGTCAAGGCTTAATTCACAACATACATCTAGCACAAATTAACTGGCAGCAGTAACAGGAATTTGGAGATTTTAGGTTTCTTTTATTTTCCTGTTTTGCATTACACTCTAACCATTTTTTCTGATCATTTGTTGATTCTACTTGGTTTTCTTTCCTTTTTTAATTATTTTTCATTACTGCTGTAATTTAAGTAACTTGGAGTACAGATGTAGTATAAATGCACATTCTTTGTAGTAGTAAAATATATCTATCAATAATTTCTGCATCCGTCAAGCACTCTCGATTCACCTGTAGTTTGTCCTTTTCCAACACTGCCTTAACAATTCATTGGAGTCATCTGCATAATTTGAGATGAAGCCTCCCGTACTGTCTTCCAGCTGGTTTATATAAATGTTAAAGGATAAAATTTCAGCACCAAGCCCTGTGAAACATGAGTCATCCAACCCGGGATACTTCCCATTCACCGAGGCGCTCTGGCTTCTGTCCTCCTGTTCTATTTAATTGCGCTTCAGCACACTAGTTTCAGTGCCAGGCTCCAGATTTTCTCCAACACTTTTGATGAATTTCCTTATCATAAACTCTCCCAAAATCCAATTACTGCATCTATACTTTCATCCTTGTTTACATCTTTTATTATTTTATAGTGGCAAATGTGTCAGTGCGAGAAGATTTCAATGATAGTGACCATAACTCAGTAAGATTTAAGTAGTCATAGAAAAGTCAAAAATGCACCAGAAATGAAAGTTCTGAATTCGGGTAGGTTTGACTTTAATGTGATAAGACAAGATCTAGCCAAAGTGGGCTGGGAGTAGCTACCTACAGAAAAATATACATCAGCACAGTGGGAGTCTTTCAGAAAGGAAATAGTGAGAATACAGGACCATCATGTTCCCAAAAGGGTGAAATGTGGGACCAACAAGTACAGAGAACCCTGGATATTGAGGAATGTACAGGTTTGGAAAAAGGAAGAAAGGGAAACGTATAGTAGGTACTGAGGGCTCAAAACACCAGAAGCCTTGGACACATATAGAAAGTCCAAGGGGTTGTTTAAAAAGGAAATTGAGTAAACAAAAATAGGGCAAAAAAAAACGGAGAATGAAGTAAAGGAAAATCCAAAGGCATATTATAGGTTTACTTGGGGCAAGATGATAACCGGGGAAGGAGTAAAACTCATTAGGGATCAAAGTGGCAAACTGTGTGTGGAGCTGAAAGACGTAGATGAGGTTTTAAGTGAAAACATTGCATCCATGTTCATTATTGAAAAGGACAATGTGCAGCCAGGAATCAGAGAGAGACCTGTGATACACTCAAACGAATTGCAATTGAGAGAAAGGAGATATTGGCAGGTTTAATTTGTTTAAATTTGGAAAAAGTTCCCCAGGCCCAGATTAGATTTATCTCTGGCTGCTGTGGGAGGAAATTGCAGGGGGCCTGACATTAATTTTCAAATCCTTTCTGACCAGAGGAGAGGTGCCAAAGTATTGAAGGCACAGCTAATGTGGTACCATTACTCAAGAAGACTGGTAGGAATGAATCAGGGAATTATAGGCTAGTGAGTCTAAAAATCCTGAGGACATAATTAATCTCCACTTGGAGTGAGAGAGATTAATAAAGAATACTCAGCGTGGTTTTGTGAGGGGGTTCATGACTGACAAATTTTATTGATTTCATCAAGGAGATAACTACATGTATAGACAAGGGTAATGCAGTTGATGTATCTACATGGAATTCAGTAAGTTCTTTGATAAAGTCTCGCATGGGGCACTCGTCAAGAAGATAAGAGCCCATGGGATCCAGGGTATTTGGCAAATTGGATCTAATATTGGTTTAGTGGAAAAAGGATGAGGGTGATGGTTGAAGGATATTTTTATGACTGGAAGCCTGTGTCCAGTGACATACCACAGGGTTTGGTGCTGGGTTATTTGCTAATTATAATGTACATTAATGATGTAGAAGTGAATGTAGGTAGTATGATCAGTAAGTTCATGGATTGCACAAAAATTGTTTGTGTGGCAAATCACAAGCAGGAAAGCCTTAGACTACAAGATGATGTAGTGAGCTGGTCAGATAGGCTGAACAATGGTAAATGGAATTTAACTCTGAAGTGTGTGACATGTTGCGTTTTGGGAGAACTAGTAAAGCAAGGAAATACACAATGAATGGTAGAACCCTAGGAAGTACAGGGGAGCAGAAGGACCTTGGGGTACATGTTCACAAATCCTTGAAGGCAACAAGACTGGTGGATAAGTCGGCTAAGACGGGATTCTTGCCTTTATAAGTTGAGATATAGAATACAAGAGCAAGGAGATTATGATGGATCTATATAAGGTATTAGTTCAGCGTTAGGCAGGAGAACTGTGTGCAGTTCTGGTCGCCATGCTTTCAGAAGAGTACGATTACTCTAGGGAGGGTGCAGAGGAAATTCACCAGGATGTTGTCTGGGCTGGAATGTATGAGTTCCAAAGAGCAAAGAAGGCTGAGGGGAACCTGATTGAGATGTACAAAATTGAGGGATGTAGATCGGATAGATAGGAAGAAACCTTTCCCTTTGGTGTAGAGGTGTAGAGTTAAGGTAAGGTGCAGGAGGTTTAGATGGGATTTCAGGAAGAATATTTTCCCCAATAGAGTGTGGCTACCTGGAACTCACTGCCTGAAATGGTCTTAGAGGTGGGAATCATCATAACACTTAAGTATTTTGATGAACACTTAAAACTCCTCAGCATTCAAGGCTATGTGCCAAATGCGGGAAAATGGGTCTAGAGTAGATAGATGCTTGATGACCAACACAGATATGATGGGTCTAACGGAATGTTTGCATGCTGTAAAACTCTATGACTATGATTTATAGTATGGGGCTGAAACATCACGAGTACGCATTCACTGGAGTCATACAAACAGTGTTGCCTGTAGAGAATCCTGCATACCAACTGGGACAAAGATGCATCACCTTCACAAGCAAAATGGGGTGATCATGTTATCATCTTTGCTGGCGTTTGCGTACAGTTTGGATACTGCATAACAAGCTCCCAAAGCAGGTGGTCTTCTCAAAGATCAGTTAGGGCAGATGCACTAGAGAACAGGTAAAGCACTTAAAGGATATGCTAAAGGCAAACATGAGGAAATGTGTTTGTCGTTAACTTGAGAGAACCATTGCCCTGGATCACACTACATAGAGGTGGAGTCTGTGCAGAGTCCCACCATTTTGATCCACTGACAACAGAATGAAGAAGAAAAGCAAGAGTGAAGAAAAGAACAAGCCATGACCTAAAATAATACACAGCCAGATATCTCACATGACGAAATATGCCTTACATGCCATAAAGTCTGCTGATCCCAAATTAACCTCATCAGCCATCTTTGGACTTAGAGCAGACAATCATCCTCACCCATGAGGGATAAGTTACTAAGTACTAAATATGTTCATAGTGGTCAAATTTTGCATTTTACTCATTCGCAGCAATGAATTATAAACCATGAACCCAGTATTTTGAAGAAGCAGCTCAAATAACAAGCACACTTCAACACTTCACGTAAAACATTTCATTGTAGGAAACAGCTGACTATAGAAGATGTGTGGTTTGTATTTGATGGTCATTTTTCTTTCAGGTGTGCATGATCTTCAATGCTGGTGAATTGACACTTGTGGAATATGGCAACAATGACATTTTGGGATCTGTTAGAACAGAGTTCATGAACCCTCACTTAATCAGGTGTGACTCATGTCTAAGTTTTTCTGTTTTGTCTCATTTACTTACTGTTTTCTCTTTCTAATGTTGTACTTGTAGTGATTGTAATGAGGTCAGCCAGGTAGACCTCATAGAATATGAGTTTCCTGATTGAGGCTGTTAATTCAATCAGGGAGCTGGCTGACAGATATAAACAGGAATGTCAGAGGTTCTGTTCACTCTGAGTGCTGGATCTGAGGAAATTGGATCTTGTCAAGGACTCTCCAGTGTAAATAAACGGCGACTTGATAACAGGATACTGGCCTCTGTGGAGTAAAATCAGTACTAATTTGCATGTCTATCTTGGAAAGTAGGGCATTCAATAATTAGAGATAGCAGGAACTGCAGATGCTGGAGAATCCGAGACAACAAGGCGCAGAGCTGGATGAACACAGCAGGCCAAGCAGCGTCATAGGAGCAGA